TCCTCTGCTTACAGTGGGGAATATTTCTGGCCCTTTGCATGCAGCCAAAACCTTTGTTTATCTTAAAGAGCAGAGTCCTTTCTTCTCTGTCAGCTTTACTGAATCCGTCCCTCCAAGCAGCAGCACTCACTCCATGTATATATTTTGGTTTTTTTAATGCAGGGGTAAAGACCTGAAGGAGAAGCACGAACAGAAGGTTTATGAGCGTGAAATGCAGCGCATCACGCTGCCCCTGTCAGCATTCACCAACCCCACGTGCGAGCTTGTGGATGAGAACACCATTGTGGTGCACACCAACCAGACACCCGTGGAGGACACGCGGGACGGCAGCGGCCCCCTCATGGGGCAGGCGGGGACTCCTGGTGCCTGAGCAACTCAGGCAGGAGCGCTACAGGCTGAGCAAAGCCTCCAGCTTCCCACTGTGAGTGCAGGGGTTGCGTGTGTTCATTTCTATTTTGTTTTCTTTTTGATGAACGCCGGATGAAGGTGATGCAGAGGAACAGAACAATGGGCTATTCATCATCTCTTTGTGGGGCACCATTCAGTGCATGACCAGCTGGGGACTGGTGTGGTGGACCCTGCTGCTTCCTCCCACCTATCTCCATGGTGTGCCAAGGAGCTGGGGGGGACGATGGGCCAGGCTTACAACTGGCCACAGATCCCATAGCCCGGAGTGTGGTCGTGGCTTCCTCTTTTTCTCTTCTTTTCCTATTTAACGGTGTGCACTGTTACTTAAGTTTCAGCCTGGAACCTCAGGAGAGAACAGTACTGCAGGGACTGAGGGGAGCTTTATGTCAGATTTAGCTAGATAATTACACTCTGATTATAGTTCCTGCCTTTTTGCTTTAGTGGCTGAGAGCTGGAAGCACTGTCCAGAATCCTGCTACTGGATCAGGTTTTTTTCCAAGGAAGAGCTTATTTGAGGGATGTCTTTGGCCAGAAGCAGTATGTTTAGCCCCAGTGCTCTCCTCAAGCTCTTGACAAATCCAGGTCTTCCAGGGCTGAGGCCACTTCTTCATTTCCCTGTGGTGCTACATGCACAGCCACAGTTATAGATGTCCAGGGGGTCTGTCTGTGCCTCCTGCTCACTTAAACAGATCAGGAAGGCAAGGGTGAGTGGTAGATAGTTGTGGAGTGAAGAAAACAAACTGCCCTTCAGTTACTTACAGCAGGTTAAATACTGAGGATAGATAACATCCTCTTTTGAACTCCCTTGGCTTCCTACAGAGCCAGGGTTGGACAGAGTGGCCAAGCTGTGGAGGTCACCCTGATCACACTGCAGCAGTTCTGGCTCTAAGGGCAGAACAGGGCAGCTGCTCTGTAAGATACTGAAGTTCTGGCGTGGCTCCTGGCCCAGCCTCTGTCACATTCAGCTTGTGCAGCAAGACTACTTACTTACAGAGCCTGGTCCTATTAGAGAGGCTTTGTAACAACTTTTATTAGCATTTCAGGGGGTTTGGAAGGGATGGTTGCTGCAGTGTCTCCCTAATGGCAGCAAAGCAAGGCCAGTTCAGGGAAACATCTGTCCCCGCTTCAGGGGATTCAAGCCATTCAAGTAAGTTTTCCAGCCATCTGCTTTATAGCTGTGGGCCTAAAAGGGAGCAGCACTTGGCAACAGGGGTTTTAGTGTTAATGTTTGATTCAGAAAAGGGAAATATTTTATTTTTAAATGCCTTTGAATACCATTTCTTTGTAAAATGTTTTAAATACCTCATTATGAGAAGGTGCAGACTGTGCTACCTTGTATTAAAGCTTAAAAGAAGAATGCTCTGTAGACGTGTGTGGACTGTGGCTCATCTGTGCATTCCTCCTGCCAGAGCAGCATCCTTTGCCTTGTTTCAGAGGAGAAGGGAAGATGCCACTTCAGTTTGCTAGGCCCAAAGGTAAATTCCTACAAGCAGTGCCTGCACTCACCAGCACTGACAAGGGGCATGGAGCTTGTCTCCCTGCTGCCAGCAGTTGCTCTTGGACTGGGACACTGTTCCTGAAAAGCAGCTGTGGGGGTGTGAGCTGTGCGTGACTCAACAGGCTGGCCCATGGGAACACACTCTTGGGTACAGCCCCTTCCTGTGCTGACCTGGGTCAGTTCTGCTTCGGTGCTGCTCAACAGCAGCTCCATCCCTTGAGAGCTGCAATGGAGACAGAGCACAGCAGGTTACAGGAGGTACTACCAGAGCCAGCATCTTGGTTCAGTTGTTCTCTTAACACAAATGTCCCCTGAACTACATATTTCAGAATGAGATATTTCCAAGGACTGGCTGTATTTTTATTCCTGGGTTAGAAAAGGAAAATGGAGAGAGGCTCCATGATCTGCTGACTCTGGTCCACCCTTAAAAACCAACCAGTGAATGAACAGAACTTAACTTCTTCCCTTTCCCTCATTCCAGGTAAATAGTCCTACAGAGCACTGCACTGTGATTTCTGCAGTTCTGTGAATGTGGCAGAGTTCACTGACTCAGAAAAGGGTGTTCTAGATGGTACCTCATCTGGGCAGTCTTGATGTTGCCATTTTGCGACTACAATAGAAACCCGAGAAAGTTACAACTTCCGGCTTTATTTAACAGAGACCACAAAATCTTGTTCTCAATAGCATACAGTTACTGCTTTTTAATTTAGTTAGAACATGGAGCTGTGCAAATCACAGTTCATAAACCCCACCCACACATCACCCAGGACTCTCCCTTCAGGGGTCCCCTCACAAACCAGCCTGGGAAGGGGAATGAAAGGGCAAATCCTATTAACAATCCTGGATCCACTGGACCCAGTTTAGAGAGGCACCTGCCTGACTCACAGCACAGGGAGTCCCCAGTGTTTCTAAAACACCACTACACAGACTAAAAACACCCCCCTTGCATACCTGATATCAGGTGATGGCTGGTCCCATGTTACTTTACATAATACTTTAAACTCATGGGTTGGGGGAGGAAACCAAATAATCAGCAAAGACTAACACCCATTCCCCACCTCCATGCTGAAGGGAGGAGGAGGGAAAAAGGAGCACACTAAGAATCCAGTTAAACCATGATGTTTGTGTGACGAGCAGAACTTGATTCAGATTTTTGTTCAGTTCTGCCAACCACATGAGCTACTGCAGCAGTAGCTTTCTTCCTTCCCCCTCCACCAAGGGAGGAAGAAGAGAAGCAGTGGAAGAAAATATATGTCTACCCACCTCCCAGTGACTCCAAGACCTTTTTTTTCACCCCCAGAGCATGGAATGACCCTGAGGAAAAATTCTGTTTGGAGAATCAGCTCAGGTGCTGCAGCAGCAGCTGCAAGAAGGACCTTCAAAGGGAGCAACTTGCACAATCTGCAGGAAAGGATGAGGTAGTGGCAACTGAATTATTAGTTCTCCAGCTGCCACTCCAGGGAGGATGGGACATTTCTCCATCACTTTTCCATTCATGACAAGTCCATCCTTTAATTGACCTTGGGCAAGTCCCCTTTTGCCATTGTCCATGCCCAAGGTCTGAGCCACTTCAAACCTTTGGCTTTCTGACAAGCACCTTCTGCTGCCATTTCTATCACCTCACATTCACAGGCCAAGAGCTCAAGCACTCAGGAATGTCCACACCCCGTGCCTAGTGCAGAACTACACATTCAGGTTCAAATACTTTCACCCAGGTTAAGGTTTTGGGCAGGCAAACTCACTGCAGGCGCAGGGTCTCCAGTGGCTCCAGTGGCTCATTTGCTGCCTGCCTCATTTGCCATCAGGAGGGGCAAGCAGAGCTCAGTCTTAGTGTTTCTAGGCAGGCTTTTGGAGGTATTCAGAGACAGAGAAGGAATAAAAGCCCACAAAACCAAAACAACAATTCGTATGTGCTTCCCCATAGACAAGGTATTTCAGGAGAGCTGCCCAACTCCTGGGGCTTTTTACTCCTTCCTCTGATGCATGTCAGAGGCCAAAATCTCAGTGGGCTGTTCTGGGAAACACATGCAAATACATACATGGGCTGTCGTGGTGGGACATGTTGCTGGATGTCCGATTTCCCCAGCTTTCTGGGCAGGGCAGTCAGTGGGAGAAGCTGTTCCAGAAGTGCTTGTCCTTACCTAGGAGAGTCTCCTATAGCAACTCCCTCCCTGGCAGACAGGCCAGGGTGGCTTCACAGCTTGCAGCCAAGTTCTAAGGCACCACAGTAAAGAAGCCTGAATAGGCCAGAGAAGTATTTCTCAAGCCAGAAATACAGTGTTCAGAGGCTTTCCTAGGTGCAGCTGGCAGGAGATGGTCCTTTTTGCTTCTCAAACATGCCAGAAATCCACAGTGAATCAGGATATCCAAGAGGAGGGAAGCTGGGTGGGGAGAGAGGCAGTGCAGCAGATGCACAGTGTGGTGCCCCGTTAATGCCCTGGAAGTGGCTGAAGTGCATCCCTCTCCCTGACGCTCATCCCAGCTCCAATGGAAGTGATGCAGGCAGCAGGACGAGCATTCTAGGTTGTGTTTTCAGGTAGCTTGTCACGGTTCAGTCCATACTGCACACTCACATTGTGGTCCAGCTCCTCCAGCTCAGATGGAAGGGGGATGGCAAGTTCTCCCAGGTACAGAGAGAGAGCTTCGAAGGAGTCTTCCAGCTTGGAAAAAGGGGGCCTAGAAGCAGCAGTGAGGAAACATGAGTAGGAAAGGGGAAGCAGAACAGCATCGGGAAAGGCTGAGCTAGTTGTCCATCCAGGTCCCCGTACAGAGTGGTGAACAGGGCCATAATTTCCTCCCCATTCAGCTTCCAAGACTGCAAAGCCCTCATTTCTCTGAGCTACCCATCTTTATAGCCAGTGAGTGACCAGAGAGGTCTGGCTCTTTGGAACCTACTTGGCAGCAACACTGTTCTGAAGCTACAAGTTTCATAATCAAATTAAGTGTTTTCCTTACTGTCAAAGTCTGCCCCAACTCTTTGTACCTCAGAAATCCTGAACAATCATTCCTCCTTTACTCTCTCTGTCTTGGAATTGTTCGTACATCTCCACCATACAGCAGTCTTTCTCCCAAACAGCTGAGTCTGAAGTCTCTCACTCATGGAAGCCTTTGAGCATTCCCATAGAAGGCTGGAACTGCCCTCTGTGCAGACCAGTTCCGCTATGGGAATACAGACACATCCTGCAGGCTTCCAAAGAGGAGTCCTCCAGACCCCAAACCTACCTGCTCTCTGGTTCCAGTCTGCAGCAAATAGCAGCCAGAGGGAAAAAGGCTGGAGGACAATCAGCAGGAACAAACTTCTCCCAGAACAGCTTGACATTAAGGCCAAAATCCAGTGTGCGTGGGAGACAGTCTGGGTCAGCATAAACCTGGCCTATGATCTAGGGAAAAATGAGAAAAGCACTTAAATACTGCAACAGTTCTAGAGTGTTAACAAACAGGGAACTTCTGCATCAGGCAAGGGCTCCTTCAAAGTATTATGGTGGAGAGAACAGAAACACTGTTCTTCCTTTCCAATGAAGCCTTTAGCTCATGGCAGTATGTACAGACAAACTTCACTGGAAACTTTTTCAAGACCTCCTGATGTGTCCATGGCTGTGGAAGAAGTCCCAGATGCCTTCTCCTCCTACCCAGGGTCTCTTTCCCAGAAGACACAGCATGATGTGCCCCTCTCAGGGAGCTCCACAGTGTCTTGCAGCTGGGGATGATGCAACCCCTCCTGATTGCAGGTAATCAAGGCAATCTTCATCACCATCCCATCCCTTCCTTCTCCAACCATCTTACTACACCATAGGCAAAGCCCCTTGGTACAGAGCCTGTCCTAAACAACGCTGGGAAGCCAAAAGCACCTCTGAGTTGTTCTGCCAGTGACAGATTCAACCATCATCACAGCCAGAGGGCTGGGACAGAAAAGAACAACCATTACTGACACCCAGGAGGCTGCAGTAAAGGAGAGCCAGAAAAGAGCTGGGTGGACAAGGAAGCCCTGCCCGAGCACTGCCCCAGTGCTCACCACCTCCAGCACAAATGTGGGAGGGAAGGAGCCCTCAGAGAGCTGTGGGGTGAGCTAGACTCACAAGGTCAATACAAACTTTCACATGGACAGAGCATTAGGTTTAAAGCCTCACTGGGTATCATAGAAGGGGTTTTATTTATAACCACCCAGGCTTTTCTATGCCAATAACTCAGCAGGACAGCCACATCCTGTAACTAGACAGAAACACCCATTGTGTATTTTGGCAGGTTTATTTCCTTATCTGTTTGAGTGTTTAATTTTTATTTTTTTTTTTTTAGCATCATTGTTTTGGTGACAAGGAGAATGTTCATATGCCACTACCCTTTTATATGTCTTTTTTCTAGATGAAACAATTGTTTAGTCCCACATACAGATTTTTCAAGTTCCTAAATCCATCACTCACAACCACAACATTCTCTGAGAGGAGGGACCAGTGTAAACAGAGCTCCAGATGAGGCCACAAAGATTTATGCACAGACATTTGCTTTGTCCCCTTCATCCAAACACTGAAAATGAAATTCTGCTCTCCTGGTGTTCCTGCAACTGCTGTGCTACACAACACCCTGCCTTTCGTCTGTATTTCCACTGTCATACCCACCTTTTAAACTGAAAATACCTTGCAGCTTTCAAGTGCTGCTTTTTGTTCTGCAGATAGAAAAGCCTGATATAACAGTCAGATTCTGCATTGGCTCAGAAATAAACTAAGCCAACAGACTTCAGGGTGCAAGCTTCATTAATCGACCTGCAAAGAGGTTTTTGTTTCCACTTCTTTGAAGTTAAGTGCCATCCCCAGTGGAGGCTCTGAATTTGCTGAGATTATGCAGCTGATTGTTCCTTTAATGAGGCAGAAAATGAAAAAAGGATTGCAGTTCTAGGGAATATATGTACTTTCAAATGGATACCAGGCTCAGTCAGAACCTGATAACTTTTTCACAGCTTCTTTCAGTCCAGGAAGAAACTGGGACCAGAAAACTACAAGGCAGTTATCTTCCTTGAGGAACCAGAGACAGGGTAAGCTTGTTCTCCCAGTCTAATTCACTAATAATGTGCTGTTAGGTCACAGGCTGCACACTCAGATGCAGAGATCCGGGTGATAGCATGTGTTCACAGAGATGGGGCATTAAAGATGCCATGTAATGTCCTCATCTTACCTCACAGAGAACAATCCCAAATGAAAAAATGTCCACCATCTCATCGTAGCTCTGTCCTGTAGGAAACATGAGACATTCAGTTCTGTAAAGAGAGAGTTACCCATCCAGCTATTTCAGGAGTTGCCAGTACAAAAATTAACTAAAACTATCCCCTGGAGGGCCCTAAGACAGGAGACAAAGCAAGGCTTAAACCTGAGCAGGGTTAGTCACCCCAAAATCTGTACAGACCAAGTGCATTACATTGCCATTACAGATTTTAAGCTTGCTTCTCTCTTGTACTTGGGAATTACAGGACAACACTGTACTGGGTCTGAGCAAATGCTAAGGGTGACTGTGGAAAGCTTCTGCTCATTTCCATTGATTGCTGTTCTTGTGCATCTCTACAGTGCATGGAGCCAGCTTTCAGCTCAGCTTCCGCAGCAGCCAGCGAGTCCCTGCTGCAGTGACTGCAGAGATAATAAATTACACACCGGCAGCACTTTGATCCTGGGAAAGCTGGCAGGCTCCGGCATGCCATGCTCTGCTTTACAGACACGCCCCTCCCAAGCCAGTAGCTGGTAAACAGCCTTGCTTTCAGAGGTGATGTCAGACTATGCTTTTGCTGTTCTCTTCACAAATGCCAGGACTGAGACAAACTCTGAGAAGCAGCCTCAGACTCCTTTAGGGCTGGAGGCCTTGAGGAAAGGCAAACAGAATGGTGCACAAGAAAGCAACATGGAGAACTGAGCTGGGGAAGAGGAGCCCAGTCGTCACTTCCCAAGTAGGCTGTGCTGGTCAGTGCTGATATCTCAGCCTGCCCAACCTGCTGGTCAGAGAGACCTGTTTGTTAGGAGGAAATTGTATCCACTGTATTTCACCCTCACCTCAACTCCTGCAGGGGCAGCTTTTCCTCTAGGGATCTCAGCTCAACCTTAATGCAGCTGAGGGCTGCATGTCAAAACCCAGATTTCCCTGCACTTGGACAACTCCCACCTGAATACTGAGGCTTTAGCAAACCTGGCAGCAGATGGCCTCTGCCTAGATCTATGCAACAGCATATGTAAACACCGCATCCCGGAGTGTAAAGATTCCCTGTTTCAAGAGGCAGTTCCAAAGCATGAGGCTATAACAAAACTTGATCTTGGGCTCAGTTTTATCTCAAGCCTCTTTTGTCTTCCCTTTTATTTGGATTGTAGCAAGTTTACTTCCATTGCCCTCCCGAAGAATCCTGTTGTCAAGCCAGAAACATTACCTGGGCTGGTACAAAGGCTTACCAGGTCAGGTACTGCAGGACTGCACCTATGGCCTCTGTGTGTATAAAAAAGCTTCCACCTTAGCAGGTCTAAAACCACAGACTCTGAAAGGTTTGGCTGTTACTGTGGCACAGAAAATTTCAGTAATCCTGTCATCTCTGTACCCTGTCTCAGGCTTCCTCCTTGCCTTCTCCCTGCTGCTGGACTCTTACCATTCAGCATCTCTGGGGCCATCCAGTATGGGTTCCCAACCACCGTGTAGCGCTTCTTCCTGTCACTCTTGCGCAGCGTCCGTTTCTTGGCAGACGGCTTCTCCAGCGTGGGCTTCTTCCTCTCCTCCACAATCAGCCGAGACAGACCGAAGTCAGCCACCACCACTGTCTTGTCCTGCACAGAGGATTTAGTACAAGCCACTGATTACTCCTTTTAGGAGCAAAGAGGCTGCAATTCCTGTTCAATACCAACTGTAGTCTAAGTGCAACTATGCAGGTTTTCTGAAGACACATCAGCATAGCAGATGTAAGACACCCAGTTCGTGATCCCAACTTATCACTTCCTCCCTTCATCATCTTATTTCCTGTGTGGTTGCTAGCACTTATCCCATCAATTTGGCTACACTTGACCTGGACCTTTCCTTTTAGATCTTCCTCTTTTACCTGGTCAGGAATTAACTTAGAGTTTCATCCTGGGTTGTCTGAAGTCAAGTGAAAAAAGGGCAGGTTTGAGGGAATGAAGGAATGAAACTACACAAAAATCTTGTGACTCAGCATTTAAAAAAAAAAAAGAAAAAAAAAAGAGAACACCCATGTGCACACACCTACACACTTGTCTGAATCCTGAGTGCCAATAAAAGTCATCAAGTGGCTAAAAAACCAAAAACAGCTATAAAGAACATCTTATAGCTGAGATAAAGAACAGAGCTGTACTAACTCTGAGAAGGTGACTCTTACAGGAGTTGTGAGCAGAGGAAGGGTAGTAAGAGAACAGAGCACAGAAACTGTGAAAACAAGATCAGTCTGGAAAATCCTGTATCAGAATAGAGCTCCTTTGCTTGGGGCATAAAGCCTCTCTGAAATCAGTTCTACCCTGACAAAAGAGGGAACATCATGTGGAGAAAACCAAGAGAGGAAGATGCCAAGGAGAGGAGCAGCGTGCTGTGAGAACTGAGGTGTAACTCACCAGCTTGATCAGGCAATTGTGTGAATTCAGGTCTCTGTGAATGATGCACATGGAATGCAAGTAAGCCTGGAACAGAAGGAGAAAAGCTGGTGTTAGGGGTTCCCAGTTGAGCATTTACAGACTCAACAATCCAACTCCAGTAGTCAGACAGCATCCACAGCCCCTCATACACCACCCTCCTGAAAGCACTCTGACCCCAGAGTTTGCTCTATTATGAAGCAACAGTCCAACTCACCATTCCAGAGGCAATCCCTTTGGCAAAGCTGACCTTCTGCTGCCAGGGGAATGGGTCCTGAAAGACAAATCCTCAATGGTCAGGGACCATCTTACCAGCCAGCTGGTGACAGCAGTTCCTTCACAACAGGGACTCTTACAGCAGTCAGCAACACACGACACAGCCCCAGAAAGAAGAGGCTTCCTGCCTCAAGCTCACCCTCAGCTATGAAGCATCTTTACTACACAGCTCCAAAGAGCAAGACTAATAACGAGTACATAGGGCTGGTACAACCATCAGCACAGTCAGGCTCACTGAGTACAGGTCTCCCAGGTGTCCATACTCACTGCATTGCGGAGGAAGTCCTTCAGCGTGCCCCCTTCAATGTACTCGGTGAGGAGATTCAGCTTCTTGTCCTTGTACAGCACACCAATGAACTTCAGCACATTGGGGTGGTCCAGGCTGCGCATCACCTTCACCTGCAAGCAGAGACATCCCACCCCAGAAAGTGAGTGGAACAAGTCCTGACAGATTCATTCTGTGGTGAAAAACACTCCAGCGCTCAAAGTCCTGTTCAGGGATCACAGAGAAGGCTCAAACCCCAACCTTAAGGCAGTCAATTAACTGCTGCTTTTTCATTTCCATGCTGTGCAATTAACCTGATCTTAGTCTTTAAGGAGAGCACCCTTGAGTCTGGCTAACTTTTCAGAGTGAGAAACTCTCCAGAGCAGCTACTGCGTCTCATGCTGTGTGTGTCAGGGCCACAACCGCAGTGTCAGGTGTTTAGGGAGCTGCCTTTAAGCTAAATCTGACTTTGAAAAACATGGTAGGCAGCCACCAAGAAAAGAGTTTTGCTTAAATACAGCATGAGTCTTAAATATCTTACAGATATTGGCCCTCATCCTTTGTATTTATGCAGAAGGCTCAAGGGATAAATCCTTTATGTACTGCACAGCTCAATTTGCCTCTGACTGAAGCTGCTCTTATCACTGAAAAATTAATGAACTGGAGCTGAAGCAATGTCTATTGCCCAGTGTGAGTCACACTTGACTGCAGCAAACATTCAGCTCATGTCAGCTTTTCCCCATGCAATGTCTCCCTCCTCAGCACCTTCATTCCTGCCAGACTGCTGGCAGGATCTCTCTCTCTGGAAAAGATGGGAGAGTTCCACCACACTACTGGCTCAGAAACTTTTTGAAATCCTGCTCTTACCTCTGTCAAGAAAGTCTTCTGTGTTTCCTCATCACAACGAATGAGCTCCTTCATCACCATCACCTTTCCTGTTGCTTTGTGAGTCACCTGGTGGGAACAAAACCCACAACTACAGGCAAGGTTCAAGAATACACAGCTCCAATGCTCCTGCAACTTCTGAAAAAGTGTTAATATTCCCCTCCATCCAGAGAAGAATAGAGATGGGAGGAAATTAAGAGCCCAGGGATCTACCAAAAACTGTGTGAAACTTCTCCTTTTGGAATTCACCAAAGATGCTGCATGTGAAACAGAAACTACCTAAAGCTGACAGAGGATCATGGCAAGAGCCAGAGCTGAAGGCTTCAGTTTGGGTAGCACAGGGCTGAGTGTGCACACAGGCTGCCAAAGCCTCCACACTGCTGCCTGCCTCAAAGTTCCCTTATGGAATGCATTTGTCCAGTGGGATGCTCACAGTTCTCACACAGGCTTTACCAAATGCATTCTGCATCAGTGAAGGAATCAATATTCACCTGCATCAGAAACCAAACCAAACAACCCAAAACTGCATTATAAATGCTTTGGTTTTATGGAGAATCTGAATCTCATACCCATGCAAGTGGAACTGGAGTGCACAGGCTGTTCAGTTAAGGTAGGAAGCAGTTAATTTTACCTTGCTCCTTTGGAGCAGTGTGTCTCAACCTGCAAGGAATGTCCTAGAACAGTGGAAAGCACAAAGAAATCCATCATAATAAGGTAATAAATTTCCTGGCTCTTGACATGGAAAGCATTTCCAGTTCCTCAAGAACTGTTTGCCTGTCTCCAGCTAGATCCTGGCATTTTGCAGTATTATGGAGGTTTTTGTAACCAGCTCAGGCTTGCTTGCATGGGTTGCAGGAGTGAATAGAAAAGGTCCAAATTCCTATGAGCACATTTTCCTGGAAATCCTCTCCTCTTTGTTTGCTTAACTTGGACAGCTCTAGCTCCCTAAGATCTCCAGGGAGCTAAACAACCACCTTGCCTCTCTGATCAGAGGAGAATTATGTGACCAAATACAGTACTTGCTGCATCACACCCAGTCAATCTGAAGCCTAAGGAATTTTTTTTTTAAAAAAAGGTAGGAGGCAAAAAAAGTCCTTTAGAAAACATCTAGAACTAAAATCCAGAACACATGACCCAGTTGTAGTATTTAGGAAGCTTATGAGTTCTTGCAAACACTGTGACACACTAGTTCTGTTTGGAGCCATGGACATAACAAAGCTGACATAGGTGGAATGTGAGTGCATGGAATAACACAACAACAGCAAGAGTACAATATTCTCCTGCTCCCATCTGAAATCAAGCATCCATACACAAATAATGAGCCAGGGAACACTGCATGTTTCAGCCAGGGATATGAAAGCCAAAGACATCTAATACCCAATGGTAAAGGGAAGTGAAGAGACAAAGGCAAGGCTAAGTGGAATTCTTAAGCTGACATACCAGCAAAACTGAAACAGGTGTCACATGAAACTCCATGGGGGCAAACTGAACTCCCAGAGCATGCACCAGAACAGGATAGCCATGGGGTAATTTGAGCAGAAAAGAAATGCCTTTGTGCCAGTAACTGCTGGGACACAGATGACAACAGCATGCGACAGAGCAAAGGTTCCACTTACCTGCACCTGTTATTTCTCTATGAGCAGAGGAGAAGAGAAATATGCTCATTAGTATGGATCAAGCTTTGGGTTTGTAGTGCTGGCTGATCACCTCCCATGGAAGCATGACATGAACACGGTGGCTGGACACCTCAACTTTATACCAATGTACAGGGAGAAGTCCCAGCCTTTGGTGGCTGCACTTTGAGTACTGAGGAGCTCACAGAACCTCAACAAGGCAGATGAAGTTGGCTCTGATGCTGTCAGGAATGCTGGGATAGGAACTGCTGGAGTACCCTTAGCCAAGATCAGAGAGCTTAAATGCGAGAGAACTGCTATTGACTGAGATTAGAACTGTGAGAGACATGCAAGACCTGACCACTATCCCCACACTGAAAAGCCATTCAGGCTGTGCCAGGGTTCAGACATGGTTGCTACATCAGCCTAGCAAACCCCTGAACACTAAGGGTGGGTGAGAAATGCTGGGGAGCTGAATGCAGCTCAGCATAAGAAAGATGCTCGTAAGAGGAAGTGTAGCCTGTTCCCTGTTCTCCCCACCTCACCCAGGAGGCTGCTGTGACTGGCACTCTGGTGTACTAAATCTGACTCAGGACATGAACACGTGTGGCCAAGGCTGACATTCAAAGGGGACAAAGTCAAAACCATCTGCAGTCAGAGACACTCGTGGTCAGGGAATGAAACAGAAATGGATCTCAAAGCAAACCAGGAAAGATCCAATCACTATTGGCAAGGCAAAACCACCGAGACTGTGGTAAGGATGCCAAGACAGACAGAGATTGCAGTACTCAAAGCAATTGACGAATGTTTGAGGACCCCCCTTACCTTGATTGCTTGTCCAAAAAATCCTTTTCCTAGAACTTCACCATGAATCAGGTCACAGGGCCGGAAGATTTGCTGGGAGCAGCTGGAAGAGGAGCGCAAGGATTCAGAACGACTGATGTCACGGCTCAGGAGGAGCGGTTCCTTTGGAGAGCTGGGGCCAGGAGACTTAGAAATGCTGTTACTTCGCCTGGAAAACAAGGATGACAGGAAGATCAGGGAAGCAGCTGAGTAACCTTTGGTCCAGCATATCCCACCGTTCACTGCTAAGGGACCAGTTTCTAATGTGCTCCAGTGCTTTTACTATCTCCAAAGCCAGATGCTCTCCCAGCACTGTGAAAGCTCCTTATGAATCCAGAGCAGCTTTCAATTCAGAGCTGCCTGACAATAACAATAACAACAACAACAACCACCTCTCCTGGACTGGCAGTTGAGGTGCAGCTCTGTGAACAGGAGGAGGAAACTGTGAAGACACATCACTTGCTATCTCTAAACAAAGTACTGGTAAAAGACTAAATGAGCAACTGAGTGCTCCACTCTTAGAAAGACTTTCCCAAGTCCCATGTTTCAGCCAGATTCCCTTTAAGGACACGTTCTTCCCCAGTTATCTAAGGCTGGTAAAAACATGACCTTTAGATTTTCTGACTATGAAACTTAGTAGCTTCTCTCTGTTAACAGTAGAGCTCCTTATTTTTTTATTAAGGAAAGTCTGTCATCCTGAAAGGGAATGGAGAGAGTATACATCAACAGCAGAATCCAAAGCTCTCCATGACTTCTCCAGTGGTTTACACCACGGCTCACGTCAGAGACAAGCCGTGTCCCCACAGTCCTTGTGATCATAAGGCCTAAGCTGCCCAGCCAGGGAGCACAGGGCAAAGGAGAGACAGGGCAGGGGCAGTGCTTCCAAGCCTTTACCTGAGGGAGCGCCGTCGGAGTGTTCCTTCCAGGTTCTCCTTGATGTCCAGTGGAGACAGGGAGCGTGGGGACATGGGTGTCTTTATGTGCGTGGGAAGACGCGAGTCCAAGCGAAGCCTGTCCAAGCGCTGCGACACAGGGTCGTGCTCTATCAGCAGCTGAAGGGTCTGGCTTGTCTTGCGAATCAGTTCCTCCACCTGAAATCAAACCAAAGGGCAGGATAGCAGCAGGCAGGAGGAATGCAAATGACAGGAGACAGAGGAGACAAAGGGAATGCCCCTCAGGAATCAGAGGAAAGAGTTCAGTGAGATCATTCCATAGTTGTGGTTTAGTTGTGTGCACCACAACTGTCTACCAGACAAATCAGGCTGACAATACACAAGTTCCTTATGCTATCCAATACTTCTTTCTGGTCAGCTACAAGTAACCTATATAAGAAAGATGTGAACAGGCTGAAGAGGGTCCAGAGAGGGGCCACAAAGATGAATGAAGTGCTGTGAAGCTGCCACATGAGGAAAGGCTGAGATAAGTGGGTGTGTTCAGCCTTGAGAAGGTTTAGGGGACACCTTATCACCATGTTCCAGTATTTAAAGAGTAGCTACAAAGAACATGGAGACTCCCTTTTTACAAGGAGTTACATGGAAAATACAAGGGGTAACGGGTACAAATTAATCCTGGAAAAATTCCAGGTAGACACAAAGACAGTTTTTTACAAAAAACAATCAGCCCTTGGAATAATCTCCCCAGCAAAGTAGTGGATTCCCCAACTCTGGACACATTTATGTTTCAGCTGGACATAGTGCTCTAGATAGTGCTTTTGCAAAGAAAGATTAGACCAGATGATCCTTGAGGTGCTTTCCAGTCTGGTATTTTATGACTCTATTAAATACTTTTCTTTTTCTGAGAAGTGTTCAAAAACTGCACAAGTTTCCACCTTGAACAGTGCTACAAAAAACAGCTTTGCAAAGGCTACATGGAGATTTTATCTGAGAGATGCCTTGCACTCCTCGTGTTCTCTTCAGCACACACAGTAAATAAAACCCTTGGGAAGTGAAGGTAATGGTGCCCCCCTTGCAGCACACTTGCAGCATCACCTGATATGTGTAGAAAGCATCTACTTGTAAATACAGACAGCAGATAGGTTTTTTGCAATGGGAAATGTCCCTAGGATCAGCTGGGCCCTTGTGTATTAGCAGTGCCTCTAAAAGGATCAGAACTGTGTACTTCACCAGCAGTACATGGGAAAGTCTTCACAGCCTCTCTGTCCTCTGTCACAGCCCTAGACTTTTCTTAGTAGCTCCCTTCACATTTGAATGCCACAAAATCAGGTCTGAATCCTCATTGCATTTCCATCTGTTACATTTTCCTCTCCAGCTGGAAGGCAAAGCTTGCCTTCATGTTTATTCCTCCTGTCAGCACGAGTACTAGTGGTGTACACACACTGTGTAGGGTGGGAGAACAGTGTCTGGAAAGAGGAGATGTAGGAAGGCAGAAGAGAAGAAGGCTTCAGAACAGAACTCTACCCACCTCCTCCACCTGTAACGTGCGAATAGGAGCTCCATTGATCTCCAGGATACGATCTGCAGGGTGGATGGCGTTTCGGACATCTGGGCTGATGTGCATCCTGTTAACTCTAAATATGGGATTTACAGTCTGTATGTGAAGTCAGTTTAGCCAAAATTATCAAAAATATGCTCCCCTTCATATTGGCATTTTGAAATAAAACAATGCTAATCTACCAACGTGGGTAGCTACCATCAGACCAAGTGCTTAGGTCTGAGCTGGTTTGGAGAGAGCTTTTCATATCACCAATGGTAAAATTTTAGTCCAAATGTTTTGTGTTCACTGAAGGAAATAGCACTGAGAGATACAATTATCAGTTAAGGGTGTCACAAGACTGAAATGAAGACCAAACACAAATTAGCCAACCTACGTCCCTGTAATGCCAAGATTCCCTCAGGACAACAGTGCTGCAGGATTTTTACCAGCTCCCTCTGCACAGACATGCACATTGTATAAAATCTGGTCATACTCACTCTTTCACCTGGACACCAGTGGCATAGCTGGAGCAGCCACCTTCAACAGACACAGAGAACCCCCTCTTGCCATCTGTGGCTGCTGGCATGGAGATGAGGGTCAGTGTATAAGGCAGCTGCTCACGCAGAGACTCAGTGGAGTGCTTTTCTATCATCGGTGTCAGCACAATCTGGTTATGGCATTTTCCACTGGAAGAAGTGAAGAAAGTCATTATGGCATCCCTCCCTGCCAAACTCACACGTCTGAGTTGTCTCACTGACCACAAGCCATAGTTTTAGTGTTTGCAGCACTCCTTCCTCCCTCCCTCAAAGGCAGCTTCCTGGCATTCCTCAGAGTAGCATTCGGCTGAACCACTCTGAGCCAGCTGAACTCGGCTTACACTCTGCAAAAAGCAGCTCTGTGGCAAAGTGCAGCTCCTCTTACCAGTAAAGAGTGGAATGTTGCACCAGTGCATAAGTGTCTCCATCTTCGATGATCACTTTGCAGCTCATACAAGCAAAGCACTCGGGGTGATACTTGTATTCACCAGCCACCTACAGACAGAAAAGGGAGTAGCTTAGGAGGGCCAAAACCCATCAGCAGATGCAGCTCCTGCTTTCCTCTGCAGTTAACGTGCTCATTCACATCTCTGAGGCAAGTGGCAGTTTTTAACTGGAGAGTTCTATTAGTCCATTCTATCTTTCCTGAGCCCCATCCATGGCACCTTGTTTGCAGAACTCCAAAATAAACACATCAACACTCTAAGCAAATCTCATGTCCCAGGAACCTCTGCTATATCTGGCAGCTGCTCAGCTATCAAAAATAGTCGATAGTCTGCTGCAGACTAGTAAACAAGGTATTAAACCTTCCTGTTCAGTTGCTCTTGGCAAGATAACTAATGTTACGCCTGAATTAATAAAGCTGAAAGGGCTTTTTTTTTGGCAGACAGTGCGCAAATTCAGATATTGAACCAGCCAGCTGACAGAAAAAAAAGTGCAAACTGAGACAAAAAATACCTTTAAAGAATATTTTTATTAATTGGTCTGTTTTTCTATTTTCCTTATGAGAACTTCCTTTAGTTACATTATTATGCAAAGACTTTTGCAAGCAATGAGAAATAGTCTGCACATTTCTCAGTATTTCCTTTTGAGTTAGCAATCATATTACTGAGTACCATCCTGGTTTTTATTTAGACTATAGAAAAATAATGTTTTTGTTTCATACTTGGCAGTTTTAAAGTTTAAATATTTGCAAGGCTTTGGCAGGAGGGGAACATTTAGGTGAGCCCATATTGTGCAGGAAGAGTTCAGTGCATTTGGGGCTAACACTACTTCAAGACTCCATCAGCCTGAAAAAGCACAGGTGGGACTTGGATGGCAACTTTCCCACAGCTTATCCTGAGCCCAGAGCTTTGACTCCACAGTGCAGTGGAAAATCTCCCCTGGAGACACTGAGGCACTGTGCTCCAGAAACTGAACAGATGTCCCCTGAATCACCTTTCTGCTTCTCAGCTCTGTACTTTTCAGCACTTGATTTGTTGATATGCTTCAGATCCCCTTCCTTTAACAGCTACCCCCATTCAAAATTAATTTTTATCTAGAAGATGCACAAAGAAGCTTAATTTCTAATCTTTGATTAGAGATTAGAGTAACAAGGAGATTATTCCACTCAGTTTATTTGGCTATCTGAATACCTAAGATAACAACCAACTAATTTTGAGGAGATGGAGGCAGGCATGTCCTGCCTCCAGGCAGGAGTCCTTCAAAGTCCTTACCATCACAGGTCCAGTCATCAGCAGAGAGCAGCCATGGCAAGATTCCCCAAACTTCCCCCAGTAGTCTTTGTGACAGTACAGCTTCCCATCCTTCTCATAGTACCAGTTAGTGAGGGGATCCTGGCATTCAGAGCACCTTGAAGGAAACAAAGGAACAAAGTTCCAGTAGGCAACAAGTCACAAATCAACAGTCCTTTCCTGCATGGAGAACACAGACATTCAGCAGCAGCTCACCACCAGGTAGGTCTGCCAGTTATGGATCTAATAAACCCTTCCACTTCCCAGTGCTCTTTGAACTGAAAATTAGCACCAAACCCAAGGTTTGTAAGGAGAGGTGGATTCAACCAGTATAAAGAAAAAGAAGCTTCCAAGGTTTAAAACAAATCCCACACATTGAAACACATCAGTGGGTTTATAAATTTTGCTTTGTAAATTTTACTCCTCTGCTTTCTCCCTCTTTCTGGATGCAAGTTTCCAGCTGCAAAGCTGCCCAGCACAGTGAGAGCTCTGCCCTGTTTCTGCTTAGTGTTTCTATAGCATCACCTTTATGCCAGAGCACCTGACTCCTCAAGCCAGTTTAGGAAGTGGGACAGAGAGGCAGGATCCACTTCCCTTTGAAATGCAAAGCCAGATTTGCACCAACCTGTCTGGAAAGCTTTTCTATTGTTCTGTACCAAGGCCTCTCCCAAAAGGTAAACTGCAGCACTCTGCATTTGAGGGAGAGTTTTCAAAGCAGTTCATCCCCTGAGATCCATATACATACCGCATCCACCAATTAACTGTGATGAAAATCCACCTCTCCCAGCCGATTGCTCTCCCTTCTGCTGATAACAATGCATGAAAAAATAAACAAGCAACCCACCAAAAAAACCTCAATAAAACTAATTCTCTGATTTCATGAAGAGAATTCCCAATTCTTCACCTCTCAGCCTCTATTTCTACAAGAAACCATTATTAATCGTCTGTCTACAGCCTTTCAAGAAACAAACCTCCCCCCCCCAAAAAAAAAAAAAAAAATCAAGGAAAAAAATGCAGCAATTCTACCGCAGATACCTTTTTAGCAAATCACAAGCAGAACCCAGGCTTGCTGAATATAAAATAAACCTGCCTCAGCAAGATGCACTGGGCAAGGAAGTTTAACTTCAGCAGCATGGAGGTGTGACTTACTGGAGAGATAAGGCACAGACAGGAGTTGCATCAGTAAGGATTATTCCATTAGCCCTGGGCAGCATGTTCTCAGACTTTAAAAGGAAAATAAGTCTGGCACTGGCCATTTCTGAGCACACAATCCAAAGCAGGTTAGTCACCAATAACTGGTTCAAACAAACACCTGGAGGATCAATGCTGTCATCAGTACAATGTTTTCCCAAACGTGAGAAGATTTTCTTCTGTGCCCTACCCCACCACCTGTCTCAGTTTCTGAGGGGAGCCACAGCAGTGGGATGGGGGTTCAGGTGGGTGTCCCTCCCTCAGCACCCAGTGTGCTGGAGTCTGCCAGTGGCACTGGAGGAGCACTTTTCACATGCTCCCAGGGCTAAGATGAGAGCCACAGCTGACTTCACCTCTCACAAGCTTCCTGAAAACTTATTTGTGCCAAAGCCAGTCCTTGTAAACCCCAGCAGCTTGCAATGAGTGTGATGAGATGTGAGGCTGGTCGTGCTCCAAGAGAGCACAGAGAGAGTTATTTGCTCCATCTCAAGAGATTGCAAAGCAACAAGGTAAAGCTGCTTGTAAGCAGCTTTAGGGAAAACCTCATGGAGTATTCAGTGCTGTACCCTCCCCTCAGGAAGATTTCTCCTTAAAATGTATTTGGCTTCTACAGTGCTTGTTTTCCCAGCTGAGGAGCATCAAATCCTGTCCCCCCTCCAAGTGATGGGAAAGAACTCCAGCATATGCAACAGGCCCTGCCAATTTTGTGTGAAGCAGAGGTAACAGTAATTTAAGACTGCTGTACATGGTACATACATCACTAGAGCCCCAGCCTGGGGGCACTGTCATGGTTACACCCTGCTCCTGGTATGCAAGAGACCCAGAGGGCATCCCAGTGCATTCTGCCTTAAACCACTGGCCTTTGGCTTCCATTTGCAGTAAATACCCCGTGCTGAATGAGCAAATAGGTGAGTGGGAGGGAAAAAAGAGCAAGTGGAGACTAACAGCAAAGATTTCTATCATTTTGTGGCAGGAACATCTGGCTCAGCTTGGGCAAATCGGATCCCTCAGACTTATCCAACTCCTCCATGCATGCCTGTACCAGTGTGTGTGCTCCAGGAGTGATTACATCTTCAAACAGGGAGCTGTGACCAGACCTGCACTTGGGATGCAGACAGCAATGCTGCAGACTGCTTCACCAGGATTTCAGGACTTGACTTTCTATGTTCTCTCCACGGAGGTGGGTCACTTATTTGTTTTTAAGCACATCACCTTCCCCTTCTCACTCCTCTTCAATTTTACCTTCAACCCCTTCCTTTTTCTCCTTAAGTAAATGTAAAATTTCTGCAAATGCAGTACAAACTGCAATTCTGTTTAGGTGGTCTCCACGGGATCATGTGCATTTGTTTTCCCTTTACCCTTCCTCTAGTACTAAATGGTTTGATTCAACCTTATTGCACTTAGTTAAGTTTGCTTCCATCCGGAAATAAGCACTGGTATCTAATTTGGAACACACCCATAGCAAAATGAAGGTGAAGAGGTGGAGCCAGCAAGCAGTCAGTTCTCTGCTATGTAATTAAACAAATCTGGGCAGGACAAGTTTGCAGCTTAAGGCTCAGAACCCCACCCTGGGCAATGAGGCAACAGGAACAGAGCAAGCAGCCCTGGAGAGCCTGGATGCTGGAATGGGTCTAACTGGCTGCTCCCTTAATCCCTGCCAGGAACAGGACACGGCTGCAGCCCATACTGCCAAGCAGCACCTTTGTTACTTACCATGCAAGCTGTAACCTTGGAAAGGCTTAGATATGGCAGGTGTGGGAAACTGGCTGACAGCACACAGGTATGGCTTCAATGCCTTCACCAAATGATAAAAGCATCACATGATTGTTCCACAAGGCTCTCATTGAAGAGATATGTCAGAATTTTATCCCAGAAGATACAAGAGTTGCCATTTCTTCCTCTCCCTCCTCAGTGGAGCTGTGCCCTTGCACCAAGGTTCACATCAGCTGAGACAGGAACGCAATTAGTGCTACAAGTATTAAGGAAGCTAACCTTTGCCAGTCACCACAACCAAAAGAAAGGAGTATGCCATGCTACTCTATCTTTTATAGATTAGAAACCACTAATCTTCTCCTAGATTGTTTTCCTATTCTTATTACAGAGTAGCAAACAATGGTAATCAAGTTTCATGGAGGACGGGTTACAGCCATACCTGACGTGTTTCCTCTGCTGCACAGGCACCATTTTCTGAGCTACAGAACCCTGCTCTAATTATACAGAACAGATATTATAATCCTTCACTTCCCAGCTTTGGCTATACAGAATAAATTAATCTGCCTCCCACAGCCATCCTCCAGGAACTGCTGGCAGCATCTGGGTGCAGAGCTCAGCCCTTGTGCTCTGAAGCACAGCAAGTGCAGATAGAGCTCACAAATCACTGCTCCATGGACTCTTGGTTTTGTGGGGGGTGGTGGGAGGATCAGGTCACAACAGATAACCAGCCTAGTTTCAGTTGAAAAGCAGCACCGGTGCCTGGTGGCATCTCTTTTACAGCTAAATGAAAGCCAATACCTTCACGGAAGCAAAGCCTTCCCTGGCACTGAAGAGACAGATCCCTTCATGAAGGGCTCATTAACAAAATGCCCCGCTCACACACACTGTCAGGCCAGATCAGTTACTGCTGGCCAGGCTCGGGAGAGTGGTTCCAATTCTGCAGGCAGGGCAGGGAGAGGACAGTCCCAGAGCTGCAGAATAAAGCAGTAGCCCAGCCTGTAGCTCACCCAGAGGCTTACTCACCGGGCTTAGCAGCAGTGTGTGCACTGGCTAAGTAAGAGACACCAGACAAGGAAGAACAGATGTGAGAAACAGACTACTAGAAAGACAGAGTGCCTAAGCTCTGACTATGCAAAGCCATTTCCACACACTCAGGAGAAGGTGTATCCATGGCTTAGCATAATATCCTACACATATTACAAATAATGAGCGTCTGCTCACTTTCCTTCTTCTGAAAGCAGCTGCTGTTTCAGAAAGCTGTCTGAAGAAGCTCAGCAGCCATGCAGTAGTATTTACTCCTATCCCAGACTGTTTTACCAATAGGCTCCTTACTCCCAAACCAGTACAAAAGTGTTTGCACGACAGGATCAATAACAAGCAAATCCGAGCAGAGGGGATAGGAGGGGGACAATGAAAGTGCAAGCTGTGCCTTTCTTTCCTCATCCATCCACCTAATCAGCACATCAGTGTCAATCACCAGCCTGGCTGTGTTCAGCCCCGCTGACTTTTCTCACTGTGGAGATGCAATGCAAAGTGTTGTTCTGGAACTATCGCCTTTCTCGATTCTCATTTGTTCAATTGGACCAAAACTGATTAAAAGCTGAATTAACCAAGATATCACAGAAGAATCCTTTCCATGTAAGGGAAGTGTGCTGCTCATCTCTAGTTACCTGCAAAGTGCCTGATTTCTTAAACAGGATTATGTGCTGCCTTGCTGGAGATTACATCACCTTCCTGAACTCCCACAGCAGCACCTCACATCACCTAGTCACAAGGAGCTTTGCAAGAGAAGCAGCAGCAGCCACATTAATCTCATTCCTCTGCTGGTGAGCAAAGCACAGGGGCACAGGGTACAGTGCACATGGAGGGCTCTCTGGAAGGGAGCCTGCCTGGCTGTGCACACACTGGAGCTGTTCCCTCGAACCAGGGAGCTGGGAAGGGACTGGCAATAGGAATATTCCCTGTCACCCCCTCAAAGCAACGTGGGATCCCAGTTTGAGGCTGGCTGTTTCTGGCACACGAGCACCTCATTCCTCCAGCCTCACACACTGACTGCCTGGGATGGCATCGCAGGGGGGAAACCACATTCCGGAGGCCCACGGCTAATCCTGTGCAAGACTTACCGAAAGGGATCCTTGGGAGCGAAGTAAGCTGGAGCAGACAAGTAACTTCCCATCTTCAACACTGGATAAACCGGATCAGCGACAAACTTGTCCAACAGCCTCTGAACAGCTCTGTTCTGCCAACATGGCAGCAGCCAGTGCTCATTTACTCTTGCGCTGATTCAGATACTTCACCTCCCTTTGAAGCTGCTCAAGGAATGCCAGATTTCTCGGCTGCTCATTCCTTTTCAAATTTTTCCTGGCTCCCATCGCTATAACCATCTTCTCCTGCACTCAGCAGCAGCAGCAGCACCTCGGGAAGGACAGAATCACTGCTAACCGGGCTAGTGGGACATGCTGCTGCAGTAGTTGTGCGAGCTCTGCCGCCTGCTAACCACTGGCAAGTTTTCCCTTCTCTGGTTCCACCCAAGGGTGGGAGGGGAGGAGGAGCCATGGCAGGCGGACAGCGGCGGCTGCAGAGCCTCAGCAGGCTCTGCTCCTTCACAGGGGTGGAGCTCTGACCCAAAGAGGGGCTGTGTATCTAGTGCTGAAAGAGAGCAGCTTTGGCCAAAGAATATAAGCACACACACGTGAAACTTGTCTTTGCAGCAGGCGCACGTTCTAATGGAGCAAAGACGGCAAAGAGCCGCCTCTCCAAGTATATATAATTAACAATATACATTCCTAAACCCTTCACAGTGAGTGGGGTTACCCTGCCTTCACAGCACCTACAATCCGTTCACCCTGCTGCAGGAAGTAACTCACAATGTGCTTCATCCAAGAAAAAACTGCTTTCTTTCCAATACTGTTTCGAGAGATCATTACAATCCTTTAACTCAATCCTCATTTCCTGAATGGAAGCTGGGAAATACAAATCAGCATGGAGTACTCTCTCCAGCTCACAGCACATGCAGTTGTATCACTGTGCTTCTCTGAAGCCAAGCATGATCTCTAGTGACCTAATCAGCTAAAGCTGCTTGCAAGACACTCAAAAATGCAACAAACACATGCTGCTGCACCAAGCCCGCCCATTTTTGTACAGTCAGCAAAGCCTGGCATGCCTGAACACAGCCTGAAAACCGTGCTCTGTTCCAGAGGCAAGAGCACTCTAATGTGCTTTTCCTGGAGATGCTCGTCTCAGCTGGCACACTGTCCCAGGGGCTGGAACAAGGCAGTCTTGGCTGCAGATTTGACATCTGCTGCTTGCCGTTGAAGTATGCAGAAACATAGGCAGCTTTTTGTGTTCTTTTTTTCTCCTTTCTTTAGCTTTTTTTTTTTTTCCATTTAACTTTTAATAAGCAGACAACTTTCTGAAGGGAGAAAAAAAAAAAATCTCCATTTTCCCCATTCAGTGTAGTTGATAAGCTTGGCTGTAAAAGTGCAGTGAAGCCTAATGCTGCAGAGCCCGATGTGCTTGTCAGATCCAGCACGGGTCTAATTCCCTCTGACATTTCACACAGCTCTACTGGAAGCAGCAACACGGTGAGTCTGTGTCTAGGAATGCGCTCTGCTCTCCCACATGCTCTGGATGTTGCGTGCAGAAAAGGGGCCAGCGCCCGCAATCCTGCGCTTCCCTGGCTATCAGCACCTCACCACCTGCTCACCTCCGCGCAGCCCCAGCACCTACACACAAAAGCCTTTCCCATCAATCCTGCTGCCATGGGCTCAACGCCCTCCGAGGGGCATTCCATGTGACCTCATAAATCCCAACTCTTCAGACAAAACCTTTGAAGGTTTGATCCACAGATGTGATAAACAGCCAGCTAGTCTGTGAATGAAGCCAGTAGATAAAGGCGAACATCAAAGTAATAAAAACCACCCAGACAGCTAAGCAACTAGGAAAGGATTTTAAGACTTCCTTAAAGCCAAAGGACACATAGTCAAATTATGACTATTTAAACAGGAAATTTCTTATCAAAATGATTTTACTTCTGCAGCAAGGCCCAGCAGCAGCAGCCAGTAAGTTACTTTGGCTACACAGAAATGTCTTGTTACTTCTTGCTTTTTCTGTTGTCTCTATGACCTATTTGAGAACACAATGTCTCTGATAAAAGGGCTCTGGAAAAGGTGTTAATGTGTTCGTACATTCTAGATCTGAATTCCTGCCGGAATGACTGTACTTCAAAAATGTTGATAACAGGTGTGTGTGGGGAGGAGGGGGGACGACATTTTGTAATTTTACTGATACCATCTCTGGGGGCCAAAATGCATGGGAGTAAATTTCTTTTTCACCAAGTAAAGTCAGACATCAGCAACTTCTCTCCTGCAAATGCTGACAGCATTTCCACTACAGATAGTCATCACAGAGGGAGCTTTTTTTCCTCATTATGGCTTAGAACTGCACAGTAACTTTTGCCAGAAAGACCATAACTAACAACTGAAAAGGAACACATTAAAAACCTTGACAATGACTTACATGATATTTCTCACTGAGTCTCAGCCATTACAGATTTATGGCCACAGAAATGAATCACACAGCTGTTGTGCTATTCCAGTGATGAATACCTGGAGCAGGAGCTGGGCAGCCTCTCTGCACTCTTTGCCACACATCCCGTGCTGCTCAGTAGTGTATCTGCAGACAGATGTGTTGCTCAGCCCTAAGATACACAAACTTATCCTGGCACAGACTGACACTTCCATATGTGTGGGATTGAGGGAAGAGGAACCAGCTTGATGCCTGAAGAGTTTGCAGCAAGCCTTTCCTTTAGCATGGGCAAAGCTTGGAGGCATTCCAAATACCTCAGTGCAATCCCAACACCTCATTGTATTTCCAAGGCACTTAAAGTGTAACACGTGCTTTGCTGCTGTTGAAAGACAAGAGTCAGCTCCTGAAACCAATACAGCCAGCTCCTGAAACCAGCACCGTTTGGATGAACAACACTGTGATGCTTCTCAGAAACTCACACCACCAAGTTTTTATTCCCACCACTCTTGCCTGATGGCTGCAGCCCTCCTGAATGTGTGTGGGCTGAGAAGCGAACCAAGGAAATTCAAACCCACTGAAACTTCATGGGTTATATAGGGTTTGGGAAGCGGTGGCTTCTGCTCTGTAAACGCAGCAGATACAATAAGACTGGCACTTTCACCACTGCATCCTCACTCCTCCTTAACGTGCTGCTTTGCTCTGTGAAGAGCAGGAGCTCCTCAGGAAAGGATCCTGCTTCACTCCTGTGAGAGCCTACCGTATTCTGGGCTGTGTGAGTAATTCTAATTACCTTGAAATAATAATGCTCGATAACAGTGCCCTAAAGGACAAGCTGCCAATTCAACCAAAAGAAAGTTTGGATTGGAATGCCCCATTCCTCCTTAAATATAAGGGCTGGTCATTGATGCCCTGTATCGATAGATTCCCCTGAGGAATTCGGCCACCTGCAAAGTGCTTCATTGTTCCTTTGAATGTGTAAACTCTTGAAGGGTCATAGTGATCTGTATGCCAATAGGCAACTATTTCTCCCTGAATCTGATAGTGAGCTCCTGAATTTCAATGCTGAAGATACCACCAAAGGAACATTCCCAGGAGTCTGCAGGATTAGGGAAGAGTTCTCACCTCTGAGGCCCCTATCATTAGCTTTCTGTAACTTCGAGAAACTGGAGAAGAAAGGGGAGATTTTTATCTTCCTGCTTCTACCTTAATTCAGCTGCCTTTTATTACTACTGCTCTTTCCCCTGCTCTCAAACTCAGCTGCTGTGTGTATAAACCTGCCTTGTGCTCACAGGTGAAAAAGCTAAAGGAAAATTCAAGGTACCAAACATCCCACAATTTAAATCCCTCCTAATACACACCTCTGCTTACAACTTTATTTGTGCTTCAAATCCTGTTCAACCATTTGTCCTTTGGGGAGGGAGCTGCTTTTGGAAAATAAAGGCCTGTGCCAAAGAGATTGAACTGACAGAAGTGATCTAAAGTCAAGGAAATACAGTCTGGAGAAAAAGCTAAGTCCACTAAATCCAGGCTTCTGCCTCGTACGAGGGACTGATGGGAGACACAATCTGCTTTCTGACAGGGGAAGGCTATGTGGATAACAGAAGCAGGGAAAAAGCTTGTTTTCTTGTTTTTCATGAAGATGGCTAGAAGAAATGGATTTAAATTGCAGCACAGGATTTCTGAAGATAGCAGACAGAAGATTCTAACCCTGAGGATAATGAAGTGCTAGCAGTCAGTCTGGGAGACCAAAATCCCACAGTCACTGGAGATTGTTAGATGACCAATTTCTTAATCATCCCTAAGCCACAAAAATTACTTGCTTTAAATATAAGTTGATAATAGATATACTAAAAGCATAAACCAGATTTATAAAAATGCCCTCAGAAATCATCAGTTTATCCTGCACCCCCAGACCAGGTTTAATTATATATAGTCTTCATATAAATTTGCCTGGCTTGCTTTTTCCCTGCCCCCAAATGTAAAAAGAATTGAAGTGATTTACTAAGTTTTGCTGCGGAAAAAACAATATTTCAGTAGCACATATGGCATTCAGTATAGAAAAATCACATCTTTGTAAGAATCAAATCACTAGAGCTGGAAAATTAGTGTTTGTCTTTCTGTTCAGTAGGCTGGAGCTTAGGACACCCCCTTGATCCATGGATAACTAATCCATGCGCTCTCTAATCCAGTGCTCTTCAAAATCCTTGTGATTTTTCAGCTTTTAATTAACTGGTTTGGGTATAAACTAAACGGTATATTTTAAATCTGTGACTGTGAAATCAGCAGCAATCCATCACCTTCAGCTACTTTTGAAGATCTGTGAACAATTTTTCTGGCTTTGGCTTTTTGTTGAGATTTCTGCAGCAAGCCAGTGTTGCTTGGCTACTTAAATTAGGTTTATTTTATAGACCACAGTACTAGACATGCTCTGTTATTTCATGGTTAGGAAGGAACTGAGCCTCAGCCGTCTTCCTTCCTAAAAAGTGCTTAAGTACCCTGCTACAGTAGTAATTCCTACCACCATTTCAAATTATTTTCTTCCTATGTATCCATTTCCATCTGGATGTAGTCTACAAGCTTGATCTGAATTTGTGGTTTTCAAATAATCAAAACTGGATTTTTAACAAATATCATGTCCTTATGATCAAGCCATACAGCTGTATCTGGGTCTTCTCATTCCATCCTACTCCAATTCAAATACACAATATCCCTACAGAAAGTGGGGATTGTCTTTAATTTTGTTTGTCATTAACTGCAGAAAAACAAAAACAACACAAAACACCAAAAATA